GGTGGTTTTTTTGAGTTCCCCCCCCTTGCCCCCCCCCCCCCCGCCCCGGGAGTTTACACGAAACAGCAGGGATTTGAACTCTGTTCTCCAGAGTCCTAAGTCCATCGAACCACACTGGAACTTCAAGCTTTCTTGAAAATTCATTTTTTTTGTTGTTGTGATAGTTTCTTTCCACGCACGACTCATGCTCTAATATGTATAATTTCGTACTTTCCTGTAGCCAAGCCATTTCAACTCCTCCCCCACCCTAAAAATATAATAAAATAACATAAATTTTATTTTTCCTTCACAGGCTCAGCTAGTTGTTGATTTTCTCATTACGTCATACACCTTCCCCTGCTTCAAATCCGATCCAGTAAAGGAATATTATTACCGAAAAAAGTGCGAATCCGTGTCAGGACCGAGATGGGTAAGCGAGGCAGTTAATCGTGACCTCCTACAAGTACGTGTTGACCCAGCTGAGGACAGCAAGAGTACAATAAAATGTTGGGAGGATTCAATAGCAAGATTTCACCTTCACTGAAAAATGTTTGTGGCTTAGTCAAATATTAGATCTGCTCTGCCATTGCCAAAGTAGCAAATGCTGGATTCAGTCTTTAGATTCCTGTCTGTGCGCACGCTATATCGTTTCCTATTAATACCTTTGAACTATAGGCCTTTTCAGTCACACATTGAGGAGAAAAGATGAGCATGTCTTTCTTTTTCCTCTTACCGAACAGACGCTGTTCTACGTGTCTTACGTTGACGAACCGCACATCTTGATGGTCGACAAAACACTGAAAACCAGTTTACAGAACACTGGAGGCGAGATTATTCATGTGAGTTAGGATCATCTGTTTTAATATATTTGTGCGCATGTTGTTGTTTTTTGAGGTTAAGCAGTTATCAAATATGAGCCTTTCTGCAGTTGCCTTTGTGCATGCATATATGTTTAGGAACAAACAAAATGTTTTAATAAAGGTTTCAGACCATGGGCTGGTTTGAAAGTCACAGTAAACCAATGGAGTTGGGAGTTTGATTCCTCCCTCTGCCTCCTTGAGGCTGGACTTAATGACCCATAAGGTCCCCTTCCAACTCTGCAGTTCTAAGATGATGATCATTAGAGAAGGGCACAAACTACCGGTTTTGGTGGTAATGACCATCTCTGGTTCATGCCGGTTTGTTTATCGGCCAAACACGTGTTCGGTGCTTGAGAGCCCCGCCTCCCCCAGTAGGCGCCCACTCCGAGGGCAGTGCTCAGAGGAGGCGGGGCAGGAAAGCCAAGCTGCTGCTTCTGAGTGGATGCCCACTGGAGGAGGCGGGACTTCGAAACTCCAAACACGTGTTGGGCCTATAAATCAACCAGCACGAACCGCCGAACTGGGTTTGTGCCCATCTCTAATGATGACGATTAAAGGAGAGTTGTCCCCACCACTACACAGGGGGAAACAGAAATAGTGTGGTACTTACATCCTGCACATATTGTCTCTTGAATGCAGAGGCGCCCAGGCGATCTGACTTATCCCGCCAGATTCCCGCTGAAACGTCCGGATGACGTTGTCGCACTCGGAGAGATCCAGGAACGGCAGCCCCTCCGGACTTCGGGGCCCACCGCTTCCTCCCACGAGCGCCCTCCTTGGTGCGGCTGTGGCCAGTGCCGCCCCGCAAAGCCCTACTCGGAGCAGCTGTGCTGCCGAAGGAAGAGCGGGCCTTGCCTCACCAGGTCCGCCTTGTTCCAGCAACTGGTCCTGTCGAGATCCACGCTCGAGTTTGCCCTCCTTTACAAAGACCCCTTGCTGGACCTGAAAGGGGACGATCCCAACAGGCCGCTTCGACACTGTGCTTACGAGCAGTATATTCAGTGGCGCTTTGGGGACCCTGACCTGGGAAGAAGGGCCGTGATACCGAGTTGCTGCCGATGGAAAATCAGAGATGCGTTTCCCAGCGAGAAGGACGAGTACAGTGGATTTAAGGGGAGGAAGTGATGCTTTGCAAAAAGGCTTTGTCTTATGGCCTAAGCCCACGAGGGAATAAGGCAGAATACAATTCCTCCCTCTTGTATTTCCCCAGAATATGGTTTGATCAGATTTTAAACTATGGTTAAGAGTTTTGGATTAAAACTTGAGAGATTCAGGTTTGTGTCCCTGTTGAGCCGTGAAATCAACGAGGTGACCTTGAACCTGTCCTTTCCTCCCGGCCTTATGAAGACAGAGTGATGGAGGGAGACTCAAGAGTGTTGCAGCGGATCAAAATGAAAGCATCGAATGCGCTGGAGCCGTGGTCCTGTAGCTGATTGAGCTGATTTCCCTTTTTGGGACACCTCTTTCAGGCGGTCCCTGGCTGCAAACGGAGTCAGGACGATCCTGAAAACGGTGGGGCTGAGACCCTGGAATGCAAAGCCACTTCTAGGAAACAATCAATGTCCCGCAAAGCCAGGCTCCCATCATCTTCACTTTCTAAATGGTTCACCTAAAGGAAGGAAGCACAGAGATCTTTCTATCCCTCTGGGCCCTCTTAGCCGTCCAAAAGTCAACAAAAGGGGCTTCTCACAAGGGCTGGCCCACGCACTTTCTCTTCCTTTTCTACTTCAAGCTATTCACGCGCTGGAACTAAGCCTGATTTTTTTTATTTCCTTGCTCGCTCGCCTCGCTCTCCCTCTTTGGTTCCTGACCAAAAACAAAGGAACAAAGGAGTTTGCTTGCTGACCCAGGTTGTCTCGCCCAGCGGCCTCTCCTGGGCATGGATCCAGTTCTGTGCATTAGTTCCGTTCCAGAAACTCGTTTCTTAAAGGAGTGGGGAGGGAAACATTTCCACTGGGCTTCTTGCTGCTTAAATCCGCACCTCCAGAAGGAAGGATCAGGCAATAAACCTCTATCACAGACCCTGAGAGAACTCACCCCACCCATGCAGAAATTACTCTAGAGGGACCAAAGTAGTTTAATGTCATTTAAGATATTTTCCTATATTAATTTGGGGTTCTTACTGATGGAGCATTTGATTCTGCACTCATGGTTTTTCCCTGCCATCCATACAACATTCTTCTTGCCCTGCTTAATGCAGTCCTTTCTTCGGTGCCTTTCCGCTCCTTTTTGCCCCTTCTCAAAGGACGGTTTATTTTAGTATCACTCGATCCTAACTGGGTGCAGAAAAGGGTGCTATAAGGGGCTTCTCCCTTGATGTGCGTGTTGAAATGTCAGAAACGGTAAAAGCTCCGGGAGAGGGATGGGTTTCGTCAAGAGAGGCTGCTTTTTGAAACAGAGCAGAAGTTTGGAGGCGAATCCCGACCGACTTGGTGGTCCTTCGGCATCAATGGACAGGAGGAGGTGTGGGGAAAAATGCTCCGTTGCTAGAATTCCCTCTACATGGTGTTGGCTGCAAGGCAGAAGCTGTGTCTCGTGTTTCATTGCCCTGCTCACTGGTCCCCCATCAAGAAAATGTAGTAGGCTTCAGGAATTTTTAATAACCCACCTGCTTATACATATTTATATTATGAATCCGATGTCCTGGTTGCTGTGAAATATTTGTTTGTCACAAGGAACCGGGCAAGGCCTTGATTACAAAATGGCACTAACATCTCAGCACTGTGTTTTACTATATTATTTATTTGCTTCTGGAACTAACGAGATGCAGGTTGGCATCATGTTTTAATTTGCCGTTCTTTAACCAATTTTGCCCAAACGGTGGTGCCCGCTGGGTGACGGCTGCTGGTCTTAGGGAATGACTGTTTGTATCCTATTTTATTGGCTCGTTTTGTTCTTATTTTAATGTTGCTCTCATTATCATTTGTCTCTTTACTGTTATCCAATTTGTCCTCGACTTGTTTGTTAACTGCCCAGAGTCGCGCTTTGCATGAATTGGGTGGTATAAAAGTGGAAGAAATAAAATAAATAAATATGTTTTCCTATTAAATTTCTTCTTGTTCTGAATTCATCGGATAATAAAGAGTCTGTATGAAAATATACCACTTTTCATCTGTTGAATTTTTGTTTTCCTGCACGACAGCTTTTCTCTCTAAAACAGGAGTGGGCAAAAGGTAGCTCTCCAGGTAGTTAATCAGGTCGTATTTTCAGGGTACAAGCGTTAACTGGACAAAAGGTCTGTGGAAAAAAACCTGTGGAACAGCTTGCCTATTGAAGGCATCCGATCATCTTTCAATTTGTCCTCGACTTGTTTGTTAACGGCCCAGAGTCGCACTTTGCATGAATTGGGTGGTACAAAAGTGGAAGAAATAAAATAAATAAATATGTTTTCCTATTAAATTTCTTCTTGTTCTGAATTCATTGTGTAATAAAGAGTCGGTATGAAAATAGACCACTTTTCATCTGTTGCATTTTTCTCCCCTGCACAACAGCTTTTCTCTCTTAAACAGGAGTGGGCAAAAGGTAGTTCTCTGAGTAGTTAATCGGGTCGTATTTTCAGGGTACAAGCGTTAACTGGACAAAAGGTCTGTGGGGGAAAAAAATCTGCGGAACAGCCTGCCTATTGAAGGCATCCGATCATCTTGGAACCTCTGACTTTCGTTCTTCATTAACAAAATCCTTCTTAGCAAAGGCTTTCATTCTGGCTTGTCTTGAGCCGGTCCAAGAACCGTCCAGGGGTAGAGACAGCCTTGAATCATGTCAATGGAACACTGGGATTCACAATTTGGGAACGATTCCTGATCAAGTGCTGGGTTTAAATCGAAAAGTCTTAGGTCCGTGCCGGAGTTGCCAGCTGCTACACAAAAGCTGACGCCCCCTTTAACTTGTATTTCCAACGTCTTTTCTCTTTCTGCGATCAAAGAAAAACGTATTAATGGAGAAAAACACAGAATAGCCCAGCAGTGGCTTTTGAATCGACAGTGCTCTGTCTGGAACTCCTCCCCTTCCTCCTCCGAGGAGTCTATCCGATGTGCATCTCTGCATGAATACCTGTTCTGAAAACTCTCTTTCCAATCAATTCAAGGACTCAACACCAAAGAGAGGCACATAGAGCCTCCTTATTCCTTCTGGATGGCTCCTCCTCGTAGAACTGTAGCAAAATCGAGAAAATTAGGGCTCGGAGAAGGATGACTATCTTCTCTCTTCCTTCTTGTTTGCCTCCTCTAAAGCCTTTGTACCTTTCAAAATTCAAATCAAATTAAAAAAAGAAGACAAAACGCAGTGGCAGCTTAAAGACTAACTTGATATACATCTATTTTTGATGTGCGCTTTCGTGGACTTCTGTCGGCCGTAAGCGAAAGAGGCGCAGCAGGGTCAAATATTTATACATGGCCTCCAAAACAGAGAAGCTATCTGAACACAAGAGATGGGTGGCTGGTTGGTTGGTCAGAAAGTCGGTGGGGGTTTTTTTCCCCAATTCTGGGGATACCCCCAGCCCTTCTGTTTCTGCAGTTCTTTCCTGACACCTTTGTGCTGGCAAGAGTGTGGGAGAACCTCGGTCATAGAGTGGTCGAAATGACTAGATAGGTGGGGTATAAATACAATCAATCAATCAATCAATCAATCAATCAATCAATAAAAAATAACAACAACGGTAGAGGGACAGGGATGCGGAGTCAGATTGGCCTTTGACCTAAAATAAAATTAAAAAAAAACAAAAGTACGGTTTGTCTGGCTGGAGCAGTCCATAAAAAAACAACTTCAACTAACTTTCCCAAAGTTTCAGGCGGCGCGTAATCCTGCACCGGCTGCAAACAGAAGGAAGCAGGAAGCACCGTCCCCAGCAGGGGGAGGAGAGCCGGGTTTTTTTTCTTCCCCTTCTATAAAACTAGCCAGGGCTTTCTCCTCCTCCTCCTCCTCTTTTTTTTTTTCTTTGCCTTCCTTTTGGCCGCAGCGACCGGACCTTGCAACATCTGGGGGGGCGCAAAGCGAGAGGGAGGAAGC